CTAGATTAAAAACAAAAACAATAACAAAATGCTACCAGCTTTTTTAATTGGCATTTACTAATCTATAAATTAATTTAGAGGGGATTGACATCCATATGCATGTCTGTCCATTTGTTCAAATATACTTTTGTAGCCTTAAGCTTTTTTTTAAGCTCTTTATTTTGAAATAATTTAAAACTCACAGAAAAGGGGCAAAAATTCTAAAAATAATTTCAGGATGTTTTTCTCTTAGATTCACCAATAACATCATTTGACCACATTGCTTTATCATTACTTCTCTAAATGCACATTTTTTTCTGAACGATTTGAGAGCTAGTCGCACACAAGGTATCCCCTTACGTGTAATGCATCAGTGTGAATTTCTTAGGAGCAAGAACATTCTTGTACATAACCACAGTGCAATGATCAATATCAAGAAACTTAGACTGATATATTGTTAGTTAATCTATGGTCCCTATACAAAATTTGCCAATTGTCCCCATAATGTTCTTTATAATGATTTTTTTGTCTTGGTCCAGGATCTAATCCAGGATCACGCATTGTATTTAGTTGTCATGTCTTTTCAGTTTCCTTTAATATGGAGACAGTTCCTTAGACTTACCTTGTCTTTCATTATATTGGCATTTTTTAAGAACACAGCTCAGTTATCTTGTAGATTGTCCCTGAACTTAGGTGTGCCTGATGTCTCTTCAGTTGCTGCATTTTTGGCCAGGAATAGCACAGAAGTACTAGTGTGTCCTTCTCAATTCATGATGCCAGGAGACACAGGGGTCAACACATTTCTTAATGGTTTAGTGGAACCATTTAGTTCCACTGTTTGGTGAACCCTAGTTCACTGAAACCAATTTCCTATTGAAAAGCATTTAGGTGGGTCTCAGTCTTTAAAACTTTATTAAACCATGCCACAATAAATATTCTAGAACATACATATTTGCATGATTGTCTAATTATTTCCTTAGGCTAAATTCCTAGAAGTGAAATCACAGAGTCAAGGGTCAAGGGTGGACTTATTTTTAAAGCCTTCGGAACCAGTGTTGCCAAGTCACTCTCCAGATAGCAGAGCAGGGCCTTACACTCCTGGCAGTGGAGTTTGTGTGTTCCTTTCATCTCACGACCCTGGGAATTAGAATCCTCACCACTTTGATAGGTGAAACGGTATCTCATTGCTTTAAATTGCACTTTGTTGTAGGGTTATTATTTTCTTGTGTGTGGTAGCTATCCATGTTTCTTCTTCATGAATTTTCTGTCCACAATCCTGTCCCATTGTCCTATGCGTGTCATGGCCCTTTTCCCATCACCTTTCTTGGTGGAGGAGGCAGCTGTGGGTATACAGACTGGAGCGGAAGCAGCCCAGTGTGACAAGCCCGTCGCTGTGCTGTCTGGTTTGCTGACTGTGGCAGGGGTTTAGGGGGAACTTGGTGCTCACGAGAAGTGAAAGGAAAACAGGTGGAGACACCAGGCTTCCCGTGGAACCACAAAGGCCTGAGTGGAAGGAACTAAACTCTCCATTTCTGCCCTGCTCCTGACCTCACACTTTTTGTGGAAAGGGAGGCTGGGACACTAGGCTGGAGCTTGAGAGAAAGAAGAGGAAATGGTAACAGACACACAGAAGGAGGGTTTGGGTAGATGGGGAACCAGGAGTGCAGTGCGGCAGAAGCTGAGCTTAGAGGCAGTGTCAGGAAGTGCACAGCACACTCCTTGCCCCAGCCCTGCCTCAGGGAAGGCAGTATGCATCTGCTCTGGTGCTGGGAGCTGTGTTTGGGACCCAGGCACTCTCCCTGGTCTCTAGCACCTTACAGCCCAAAAGAGCATTAATGCTTCCCTAAGAACTTGTTTGTTCTTCCCAGGGGCTTCCCTGTGGTCGCTGCTGATCAGGTTGGTACCATCATCATTCTAGTGAGCTACAGCATGCCAGGGACACAGAAAGTTCTCTGGTATAAAGTGACCTCTCTCCTTACAACAACCCCTTAAATAAAGGTTCGTTTTACTCAACTCACTTTTCTGTCAGTTTATCTCCTGGGAAGAATAAGCCTGTCAATCACTCACACTTAAGCCAGCATTGAGACCATTCGATCTTTAAGTTTGACAGATGTCCTCTGAGAAAACATCCTTTTTGTGACGGGGGCTCTTTTACTACCTCCTCTATTTCTTCTATAGTAATTAGTTAATTTAGAATTTCTGTCCCTCATGGCAGGCAGAGGGATTTTTGACTATATTTGGCCCCCACTGGAACTACTGTGGCAGGGAGGCGTGATTTTTACTATACTAATGATGGAGGGGTGTGATTTTTACTATGGTGATGAATTTTGGGGTGAATTTTGGGTCAGTTTCTCCCCTATGTTCGAACTAGCCGGTTTTGGCCAGTCTGTTATCTATAGTCTCACTCTATATCTCATAAGAACAGCTTACATGAAATTTTCAGAATATAAGCAAGCATCTAGCTGAGTATTCCCACTGGGTGAAGTCGTCCTCCTCCTCCCCTGCTCCCATCTGGCTATTTGCCTGCCATAACAGGTCTGGAATCCTAGCTTTGAGATCGTGTCTCCAGCCTTCCTAAAATCTGAGAGACTGCGCATCTCCCATTATTGTTGTGAAGACTGAATGATAAAACTTATATTAAAGCACTTACTACATAATAGTGCTTAGCAAGTATTAGTTTCCTTCTGGGTTCCCTGAGGAAGCAAATGAGTACAGGGGCAGCCATGCTAGATTATGTTGAAGTTTCTGAAATAGATCTGCTTCATTAAAGATATATTCCATTCCTTTTGTCTGGGCATTTAATTTTAAAACCTCAAATGCTTCTTGGAATCTTTTTAGTTATTAAACTCAGAGAGCAAAGGTAATAAGCTTAATGTACAGGACTGGCTATATAAGTCATGGGACCTAATGCAAAAGGAAAATGCAGGGCCCCTTAAAAAAACATCTGCTAAGAATTTCAAGGTGGCAAAAGCAGAGCATTAAGCCATGCATCGGGCCCTTCTAAGTATGCCCATGAAGCCAGCCCTGTCTACACAGAGTACCTCTGATCCTCCTTCTCATCTGTTGGTATGAAGAGTAGACTACAACAGGGCTACCTTGATTCCTCTCTCCATGCCACCCCTAAAAACAAGACACTGGTCAAAAAAACAAGCCACTATACTTATATACCACAGTTGGCCACAACAAAAGGTCCTTCCAGCCAGCAATACAAAATTGCATTAGTAGTGCAGCTACATTACAAATTTATAATTACAAAATTACATTAGCAGTACAAAAATACATGTTCACTTTAAGGCAAGAATATAGAAAAATGCATGTTCACTTTAAATAATGAAAGACAGAATGTCAATGCCAAAAGGAACCAGACAGAATATCTAATCCAATCCCATTAGGTTTTACTTGGGAAAACTGAGTGCCAGTGGGGTTAACCACCTGCCTAGGGTCATACAGCTGGTTAGTGCTGACAAAAAGACTAGAACCTCTGGTTCCTGAAATCCAGTTTAAATATGCCTTTTAAAAATGTGGCACCACCGTCTTTCCTTTTCATCTCAGAAGAGCTGCAGCAGTCAATCAATTTTCTTCCCCAGTCAGGAACATGCATGACAAAATAAGAATACCAGAAAGGAAATTCAGGAATTGAAGGGAAGAAAGAGGCTTATAACTACATTAAAACAAACTTTCTTTTTAATTATAAAATCTATATGTAATTCAAATCAAAGTGAATGAATTAAAAAGTGACATACCACTCATTTATCCAATCTTACTCCCCAAAAGTTACCACTTTTATCATTTGGGTGGTTATCTATTCTGGTATTTTATACTGGAACACAAATCTCAGTTTAAGTAATCTAGGTAAAGCCTTCTTTTAACTATTACACCCACTGATTAGATAACTGAGTTTTTAAAACATTTTATTACAAGCAAAAAGTGTACCTAAACACTGAAACTAGAGATATGAATTTTCTCAGAGGACTAGCCTTTTTATAAGTAGTGAGATAGTCATTCAATTCTCCATATATGGAAAATAAAACAGATAATCAATACACAACAATATACTTACACTGGAATTTCCTTTGTATTTTGTTTATGTTGATTTGGCCAAATTCTCTTTTCCTTACATTTACTTCTGCTGCAATGTTAACTCATAATGTACTTTGGGGTAAAGAAGGTGTCACACCCTGACATCATTTCTCCCAAAACTTACGTATTTCTGATTTAGTGATTAACTACCTGGTAGTATTTCTTTTCTCAGGCTAATACATATTTTGTTCATTCATTCTTCAATATGGAATTTTTTTTCTTCAGGAATCATTTGGAAATATTCAAGGCTTCAACATATTCTACCCATGTTCTACTTTGAAAATGTAAGACTGTAACAACTTGGGGGAAAAATATTTTGTGCAGTGTTGATTTACACACTAAAAGCTTCATAAATTATATTAATATTTTAACTTTCTGGTGTTGCAAACAAAGATCATTAAAACTATTAAAGCCTTATTTTCTTGGGTTATAGGAGTTACTCGATACTATCTAACATACTGCTCTATAATCTTTACATTTATAATTCTACTGCTAAAATGAGTTATAGCTTGACAGAAGAAAATCATTTTTTTCAACTCACCATTACAACACAATTAAAATACTCACGAATAACGCTGTTAGAAACTCCTAATAGATTTCGAACTCTGCTATTCGATTCGATTGCCCAAATTCACAGATTCATTTGGCAAAAACTAAGGTAAATTTTGGTTCCAGTTATGTATCAAGTTTCTCAGCATGCCAAATAAATTAGCCGGGCCAACAGCTTGCTGTTTAAAAGTTAAAACATGCGATCCGCTGCAGCAACCAAGCCTACCTCCTGCCAGTACTTCCAGAGGATCAAGCCAGTGGACCGCTGGGTTGTGCCCTCCTCTCCACCTGTACCAAGCCTCTCCTCCGCCCCGCCCCTTACCTTGGCCCCGCCTCCTGCACGCTGGCGCGCCTTCCGTTCAGCCAATAACCGGAGACGTTTGTGGGAGTTGGCGTTCCCCCGCGGCCAATGCAGGAGATTCTTGCAGTTCCCGTCTCTCCGCCTGGAGCTCGGGCAGGAAGATGGCGGGGACCGCAGAGTTGATGCTGCTGGAGAAGTCCCTAGGGCTGAGTAAAGGGAACAAATACAGCGCTCAGGGCGAGCGCCAGGTGAGGAGCCGAGGCGGCGCGGAGGGGAAGAGGTGGACGGGCGCGGGGCCTGCTCAGCCCAGGCAGGACGGCTGGCCGGCAGAGGCGGGCGGAGGGAGGATGCGGCTCCTCTCCTGCCCACGTGTCCGCCCCGCCGCGTGGGGAGGCCCCTCGGTCTCCCCCTCGGTCTCTCCCTGCGGCCCTAGTTCGCGGGTGGAGGAGGGGACCCTGCTGCGGTTGGGCTCGGCCTAACCCTTTCCTCTTGGGAAACTGTCATTAGCCCATTCTGGGAAAGCGAGGAGGGCCCTCAGAGAGCCCCTAGACCGACCTGGAGGCCCCGCCTTTGCGTTCAGTGACAGCAGTTACTGCAACAGTACCTTTCACGCGGTATTGTACGAGGACTACAAGAAACTGCCAGGCCGCCAGGTAGCACTGTGCTGGGACTGAGGAATACAGCTGTGGGTACGAAGGACGCGCTCCCTCCCCTCAGGAAGCGTGATGTTTTTCGTTGATGGACAAACATTGCTGCTGTTTTAATTACAATAGTGAAAATTGCTACGTGGCAGTGTAGATGGCTGAGAGCACATAATGGATCTTGGCCCAAACTGGGAGACTCAGGGAATGCTTTTCTGAGGTCTTGTTAAAGTTAAGTGTGCAACGTGCAGAGAAGGGGAAATTAGGCGGTATGAGAATTGGTGAGATACGAGAACCCAGATTTCTCAGAACACTTGTTTCATAAGGATCGTTGTATGACGTTGCCGTATACATTTTTTTTTACCCTTTGAGATTTATTTTTCCAGATGACGTTAATTTTTTGTTCTTACTTTTTATGTTACTGATCTGGTCCATGTTAAAATACTGTCTCAAAAGCAGTCCTGTTGGTTTTTTTTCCACAGGAAAGTTAAACTGAAGCCCAGGGATAGCAACTTGCCTAAGATGAGTCCACTGATTGGTGGCAGAATACGAATAGGCATTGGAGCCAGAGGCCTGTTGTTGCTTTTTTGTCTGGCTTCATGTTGATTCCTTACCGTCAGCCCCTACTCCCTGTTTTTTAGGGAACATTGCCAAGACATGAGTCTTGTCTTCAGGAAGCTTATCTAGTATGAGAAACAGTCATTGGCATTTAATTTAAAGCAGAACAGAAAAAGTAATTAACGGAGGAAAACATTGTTAAGGAGTGTGGAGGAGAAAGGTAATTCTGAGAATAAGAATGGGTTTGTAAACTTCACAGAAAAGCTAGTATTGAAAGTGTATAAAACCAATAAATTATGAAAGATTAAGTTTAGGGGAACAAGAAACCAATATGAGGAGTGATGCAGTGCAAAGTAAACCCAAAATTACAGTTTGAGAGCAATTGTGAGGGCTTTAGGGCTCAGAGTGTGGTTTTTATTTTAATTAATTTTTCTTAGTGGAGAGCAGCTATTGAAAATTTCTATTTATGTGTTTGGTAAAAGGGGTGGAGACATAATGAAAAGACAGCCATTTTTTGGCAAACAGCTGACAGCCGTAAGCCAGCAACAAGGTATTTTGTGTCACATTACCAATAATACAGTGGTTCCCCCTTATCAGCAGTTTCACTTTCTAAAGTTATCTGCCATTAACTAATGGGGAAGCAGATCATCCTCCTTCTGACATGTTATTAAAAGGTCAATAGTAGTCTAGGACTGTCACAATGCCTACATCATTCACCTCACTTCATCTCATGCAGGTATTTTATCATTACATTGTCACAAAAAGAAGGATCAGCATAGTACAAAAGATTTTTTTAGAGCAATACCACATTTTCATAGATTTTACTGTAAGATGTTGTAGTTCTCTTTTGTATTTGTTATGTTAATCTCTTACTATGCTAATTTATAAGTTAAACTTATCATAGTTATGTATGTATAGGAAAAATTATAGTTTATGTGGGGTTTGGTGCCACTTACAGTTTCAGGCATCCACTGGGAGGGTCTTGGAATGTTACCCCAAGAGTAAGTAGGAGCTACTCTAATTTAAAATGGAAAATATTCCAGAGGTCCAGCAGTAGGAGAAGGGTGCATTAAATTATGGAGCATCAGCACATTGGAAATGTTGAAAGTGATCCCTTTGAAGACCATGGAACCCTAAAACGAATGTGAAAATAGTATGTGTTCCATAACTACAACTGTATGAGATCTGTGTACTTCAGGCTATACAATGGAAAGAGAATGGACATTCAAGCCAGTTGTACTTTATTTAAACCCTGATTTTGTCATTACAAACTGGGTGACCTTGGTTCTTTATAATATATGATGAGATTACTTATCTATTTTATCAGATGTAATGGTTAAATGAGAAGGTAACTGGAAATTTTTTGAGCGGGCATGGTGAGGTTGTGCATAATTTATCTTACAAATCTCTCTAGAATTAAATGTCATCCTTCCACCCCCGCTCAAAGATTGCAAGTTCTTTTCTGTTTTTGTCTTTGTTTTTTTTTTAAGTGTGATACACATCATAAAAGTGTAAAAATATCAGTGAATTGACCCAAAGTGAACATACCCAGGTGTAGAGTCCAACTCTGCAATCCCGTTGAACCTGAGAAGGGTGGGTGGGAGATGCAAGGAAAACACAGAAGTCAAAGTTAGGACGACAGGAGGTCCACTGATCACTGATGGTGGACCAGTGGCGCAGTTTTATTTCAAAGCACAGATTATATACATAGGCTCACTTCTGTGAGCCACCCACAGTGATCTCACTTCCGGGGATCTCACTTCTCCCTCCACATCTCCCCCTTTTTTCTTTACTAAAAACCTCAGGTGGATAGATAAATACAGTAAAGATTATAACAAGCAGAAGGTCTCCCAACACAGCCCATCCCTTCAGCTGCCCTTACTGGGTGGTACAAGTTAGAAACAGGAGAATGAGGGGGCAGCTGCTGTTGGTCAGGTCTCTGTCCACTACCTGAGTCCCAATCTGAGCTGGGCATGGGCAGCGAAGCAGCCATGTGGGCAAGAGACCTCCTCAGAAGTGATGAAGATTCAGGCCTCTGCAAGGTTGGTCAGGGGGTGTAAGGAACTGTGCCCCACCTCTATTGGCCCCCAAGTCCTCTCCTGATGGCCCTCTGCAACTGTGCCTGTCTTAGGTTGTTCCTCCCTTGAGAAATCTTACCCGTCGCTGGCTAACCAACCATTCTCCAGGGCAAAACAGGATGATGTGAGGCATGTGCGTCAGAGAGGAGTAGCATCCCCCAAGAAGGACAGTTCTCTGTCTCCTAGGTTGTTTTATGTCCTCATGGCTTCCACACCCAGTACCTGCCTTGAGGTCCCCTCACCAGCTGGCAGGGCCTTGGCTCTGGTCACATGTCTTGGGGAACCCAGGTGTCTTTTTTAGGGAGGGCCTTTGGCACAAGGCAACTCCATGTATGGGGATTCTAGAAAGGGCTGTGTTTAGAAAGGGAGAAGAAAGGTAACAAAACCAGCAAACAGGAAGAAAGGTGAGAAGATTGGAAAGATCTCAGGGCAAAGCTGGAGATGGAAACTCTTCCCCCTCTTTAATTGAAGCCATAGGTGATGTAGGTTCTGCATGGCATCTTTTCTTGAGGGCTCACCAGCCAACTAATATTGAGCAAAACAAAATGATTATTGCAAACAGCAAAGCAAGCAGATACCAGAAGGGTGTGTTTCAGCATATTGAATGGTTTAAAGCCCTTAAGATGTTCCAGGACTTGTTTTGCCAGGTCTCGGGGGTCAATCATATCTAATCGTGCATTTTGGATGTCTATTATCTCTTGATGAAAGTTATGTAGATTGAAACTAAGGTTTGTGTGTTGCCACACTTCTAGGAGACGGCTGCAAATTTTGTTCCATTCCCATTGGAAACTGTCACGAGGTGCATTGTTAACACAGACGTTTTTATATGCAGCATGACATCGGAGCTGTAACTGCCATTGGAGGGTTTCCACCTCATCGTCTGTGGCTATCACTGTACTTTCCAGGCCGGCAAGTCGGCTGTCTTTACATCAATGGTCTCGAGTTTTTAGAGCTTGAGAGGTGTTATAGACCAATTGATTGACATATTGGGCAGTGTGTATGGATTGTGAAAGGGCCATAGATGCAGTAACAGCGGTGATGAGACTTGAAATAGCAGCCACTAATCCAGCAATTATGAGTCCAGTAGTTCTCTGGCTCCTGGAGAGCTCATTTTTCATTTCTATAATGGTTTGTGTCCCACGGTTCAGATAGATTGGAGGCCAGAATAATATATGGTGGTTGGGAAAGAACTAAAACGTTTTTTCTTTTGTTCCAGGTGGACACACGTGGTTAGGTTGCAGTCTTTTGGGGCACATGGGTTTTGTGTAGGCCTGAATGCTTTTTGTAGTGCGGCCGCTAAGACTGCACCCTGCATGTAGGAAGATCCCACCCACATCTGTGTAGAGTTTGATAAAGTCAGAAGGAGTTCCCTTCTTTTTATAAGGCTGAATGAGGCCCTGACATGTACTGTTTGCATTTTCATAGGCCAACTGTCCAGCGAGAATATTCCTAGCCTCAGAATCAGGAACTACTCTGGATATTGCCTGCAGTAAATGAGACAAAAATTCCTGAAATGGCTCATCTGGGCCTTGCTGAATGCTACTGAGCTCCTCCTCAGTTTTAGCTCCTGCGGTGGGCAGGCTCCTCCAAGCCTTGCTTCCTCAAATGTTAATTTGCTGATATGCTTGCAAAGTGAACTGAAACTGATCTATCAAAGCAGAATACTGCCCTTCTTCGTTAGCATATCCAAGCTCATGGGAATGTTATACATTCAATTTCTATCTGCCTGTTGTACACACAAGTCTACAAATTCACTGTTCCATAGCAAATAATCACCTCCAGTGAGACATGCCTTAGCAAGCATCTTCCAGTCATTAGGAGCCAGAGCATAGTACAAAAGTTAAGTGTGCAACGTGCCTAACCTTTTCCTCTTGGAGAGGAAGGGTAAAAGGAGCAGCAGTTGGGCCATATTGAGAGCAGGAATTTTTGAGCTCTTTCAGAGTTTTGAATGGCATAGGATTATGTTGTCTGATAGGATTTCCATCCCCTTGCCGCCTTTCACTGACTGGTAGGCAGAGGGAGTGGAAACCAGATGTGTCCTCACTCCACCTTTGGGCTTCCTGGAAGCTGCGCTGCAAGGCTGAGCAGCAAGCGGGACCAGTAGGTACTTTGGTGGTAACAGAAATGGAATGTCCCTGGTTAGACTGACTGCTGGGGGGCGCGGAGCCGCGGAGAGGTTCCCTGCTTGCAGTCCACGGCTCTGAGGCCTATCAGGACAGAGTGGTAACTGCAGGGGTTTAGGAAACAACACTTTCAATTTTTGAAAAGCGGTCAAAACAGGCCCAGTTTTGGTAGGAGGTTTCAAGGTATTTTAGAGAGCCCTGTGTCACCCTCTTCCTCCATCTCAGAGTCCGAGGAGGTAGATTCCTCCTGCTCACAATATGCATTTTCCTGGTCCCTGTATTGGACGCCATGTTGGACACCATAGGTGCCATGTTGCCCATTTCCAAGGAGCTCATTTTCACATTGCTGTTCCTCTTCTATCAGCTCTTGCTCATACTTGGGAGGCAATAATAGCTCATTGTCTTGGTGATACTCGGGAGGTAATGGCTCACAGTTCACAAGGGCTTGTGGCATTAGCCAAAGCCTCATAAGCAGTGACTGTTTGCTTTGATTGTTCGACTACGCAGCCTTCCTTGGGAAGTCTCAGGCAAACAGGTAACCTTGGGAGATGGGTCCAAACTTCCATTCACTAAATTCCATAAAGCAAATACTTCTATGGGAAAGTTCCAAGGCCCATGAAAGGTGAAACGCTGTTTAAGCTGCAGCCCCACCTTTTGCCAAGTCTGCTCATTTATGGTTACTTCTTCAGGGAACCAGGGGCAGCTATGCTGCACAAAAGTGAGAAAAGATTCTAGCTGCTGACTGACTGCTCACAGTACTGCCGCAGGTGTGTAGCAAGCATATGTACAAAGATTTCTCGGTCCTTAGACCCTGATTGTCCCATGTTTTTTACTCCTGACTTTTATTGCTCCCATACCTCACTCTGGACTCTATTGCCATACCTCAGGGAGTCTCCCCACTTAAGTTTTCTTCACCCCCTTCTCAGGTCCCTGTTTGGGTGCCACCTGCAGAGACCAGCTCCACAAACCAGCTGCACCTGAGAGGGGTGGATGGGAGATGCAAGAAAAACGCAGAAATAGCAAGAAAGACACAGAAACCAAAGTTGGGGTCAGAAGGTCCACTGGCTGCTGGTGGTGGACAAGTGACAAGTTTTATTTCAAAGCACAGCTTATATACAAAGGCTCACTTCCGTGAGCTGCCCACAATGATCTCACTACCGGTGATCTCACATCCGTTGCTCTTACTTCCAGTGATCTCACTTCTGGCCATCTAAACCCAGGTAAACAGGCAGTCAAGGAACGGAACATTGTCAGCACCCCAGAGGACTGCATACTGTTTGCTTTTAATGTATTTTTTAAATGAAGTTATTGGTGATTTTACAGTGGCTTCAGTTGAGTTTGAAGGCAAAAGTGAGAATTCAAGGTGCCAAGCTAATGTGAATGGAAAGTAGGCGAGGAAATAGACAGTGGGAGAGTACCATTCATTAAGCTTAACTTTTTAGAGGTAACCTTTGAATCTATCTGTAAAATGTTCAACTCCCTATATACGTCACAGAGTTCTGTTGATCTAGATGTGAGTATGAAAGTGCCTGCAAAATAAAAATCACTTTACATGTACAAGATACTATTTCATGGCTGAAAAGAACAGCTTTCTTCCCCAAAGAAAATAATCTTTGCATTGGTTTGGTTAGATCTTTTAGGTTGTATACTGGTTATGTCTAACTGGTTAGTCTCCCCAGTGGATGATATTTTCCATTTCCTTTTAAATTTCTCACAGTGCTTCACTTAGTTGTGCATCAAGGACTTTTTAAATTAATTGGCATTTTCTTACAAGTAGTTTCTATAATCTTGCCCTTTGTACTGCTGTTGTAATAGGGGGACATAAAAAGCAATACTTTTCAGATGATTATCTGAAGCCCACGCTTTATTATCAGTGACCCCAATTATATTCTGGAATGTTTTTTAAAATGCGTAATATTGGCCAACAGTGACATCACTCTAAATGACTCCAAAATTGGTGGATATGCAACCCAGGGCAACCAAATCACCATTACAGGCCCGGTCTAGTTAGTACGGCAGCTTATTATGTTAGGGCACAGCACTGAAACCAGCCTGCATCTCATTTTGTAGTTCTGACTATGTAACATTTTTCAGTGTTACTATAATTTTTTCTTATTTTTGTCATTCCAGAAGTCAGGTTTAAGTCTATTCATCTTGCTGAAGTAGGATATGGAGAAATTTGGTTAAAATTAAGGCAGTGTTATTAAGATTTCCTTTTTTCGTCTTGTACATGAACAGTTATAAATTATGTAGAAACACTGATTCTTGTGATGTTATTTCCAGTTTCATGTCATCTGTTACCAAATTGTATATTATGTAACTGCTATTTTCCTGACTTCCATTTGTATGTAATTTAGTGTCTTAGAGTAAAATCCTAGAGTATCTGAAAAACTGTTGAGGGATTTAGCAATTACTTAGAACTTGAAGTCCTGATGCTATTCATTTTTTAAATGTATCTGAAGAACTTTTTTTTCTTTTTAAGATTCCCGTTCTTCAAACAAACAATGGTCCAAGTCTAATAGGATTAACTACTATAGCCACTCATCTAGTCAAGCAAGCCAACAAAGAGTATTTGCTTGGGAGCACCGCAGAAGAAAAAGCAATAGTTCAACAATGGCTAGAATACAGGGTAACTCGGGTAGACGGACAGGCCAGTAAAGATGATGTCCGCACTCTGTTGAAGGTATGGTGACTTCTGTTTGGAGGCTGAAATGCTTAAACTATTAATAGCTGGAATCTGACTCCCCTAAGATCCGGTGGCTGAGGCTATAGGCCTTCTTCACTGTTTCCTTTCGCTGCAGGGTAGTTTATACCTGTTATTACCATCTGTGCCTGGAACAGACTGACCTCTCTGTCAGCTCTCCCCCTTCAGATCTCAGCTCAGATAGCCATTCTCAGAAACGTCCTTGACTGCCTCTCCCTCAAACAGATGTGGGTCCCTGTTCTATATGCTTTTCCTTCACGCCAAAGCACCTTCTGCTTTTCCTTCATAATACTTGTCATAGCCAATAATTATAACTTTCTTTAAATTTTCTCTTTTTTTAATGCAGTGGCTTAATATTTATTTTCCCAATTTTGCAGTCCTGATTCCCTAAGCAATAAAGTATTTTGTCAAAGGCAGGGGGAATCAGAATCTTTGGGAGTTGTAATTTGAAAAAACTGTCAGATTCACCTGAGAAAGTCTACATTTCCCTCCCTTGAGACATAATGCTTTAAGATTTGTATTTTCTTTCCAAAGAAGTCAAATTAGAATAAAATAATCTACTGATGTAAAATATAAGCCGACTGTGGCTCTAGAGTCACCAAGAATGAAAAACATTTCAAATGAAATTACTTTTGTTAATTATTTATATTTTTAAAAGCAGATTTTTTTCATATTTTTAGAAAAGCTTATAATTTGAGGGAACCTTAGAGATCTTCCAGACAACCACATATCATTGAAAGAATCCCTTCTGTTTCCTAATTTTATTCCCATTATCAGTTAAATTGAGAGTATAAGATGTACAAGAAGATACAGTACTTGAAAGTTGTTCATCTGTCACTCTGGGGAAAATCATTTAAACCATATTCTTGATACCATCAAGAGAACTGATAGAACATAAATTTCAGGTCTTACTCCTTTATAGGTCTGTCATGATCAACTATTCATTTTTAATATCCTTACTGACCCAAACCTCTGGCCCCTGCCATGCTCAGCAGCATGTCCAGAGGGAAGCAAGTATGTCTTCCCACTAAGTAAATGAGATTTCAGACAAATAAAAAGTAAATATAGCTATCTCATAGTTTCCAAAAAAAAGATAAAGTACTTAATTCTGAAATAAACAAACAGGATATCAATGAATTGGATTTGTGAAGTTCAAAAGTTGCATTCATAGATTGGGTATTTGGAACATAGAAGTAATTCCACCAAAACATTGTATCTGGGATATATAAATGTTATCTGAAATTCCAGTTGGGAGAATCTGACTGGAGATAGTACCATTTTATATTTAATGGACAAGGAGCTGGATGATTTGAGTTGCCTTCCTTGCTCTGACATGGTGTGCTCATCTGCATCTATAGTGATGTTCCTGGTACAGTTCTAGGGGCTAGTGAGACAGCTGACCCAGCAGACACAGGCCCTGCACTTACAGAGCTCAGACCAGTGCGGGAGACAGATGTATGGACAGTGGACTGCGGAGTGGTTTTTGGCTATATGAGCAGATGAATAGGGTTGTTTTCTGTTTTGCTTTGCTTTTTACTATTTCATGATAGAATTTTTAATTTAACAGAAGTAAATATTATGGAAATTTAAGAAATGCAAATAAGCAAATAAAAAATTTCAAACATTTGTAGTCCCACTATAAAGAGAGAACTATTAATAACACTTATGTTCAGTCATGAAATAGTAATTGAACCCCTTCTTTTCATATGTACATGTGTGATCTCTTAAAACTGGGCAGGTATTGGGCACTGTAATTTTTGTTGTTTACTGGCAATGTGTTATGAACATTTTTCATGTCCATAAATACACTTATACTATCTTTTTGATAAACTTAATATTCCATCATATAGTTGTACCAGAGTTTAAATTATTTTTTAAAAATTAAATACTTATATATATTCTTTGCCATTTTTTTACTAGGCTATTTATCTTTGTTTTACTTCTTTTTAAAATCCTTGCATTGTATGTTATGAAAAAGTTTAATTCTTACTCTCTAAAGTTCCCTTTCAATACTAAAACCATAATTGTAAATGGCTCATAATTAAGGTAATAATTAATTTCAAAAACACATTCTAAAACATTAATATTCTTTTAGTCTATATGGAAAATATTGTTTATTATATTGCATCTTCAATATTGTTAGAAAGTTTAATAGGAAGAAAAAAGAAAAATCAAATGGAACTCTGTAGGGGGAATATTTTTTGAAGCTTGACAATGGCATCAGAAAGATTTGTAAAAAACATAAAGAATGAATATTAGATCTTAGTTCTATGAATATTTTGAGTGTGTGAAATTCTGTGTTTTGGTAGGAAAAATTTTGACTTATATCACTAATCAAAGAAATATGACCTAACCATAGATTTTTAATCACTTTTTAAATCCTTAGTTATGAAGATTAAAACTTTAAGAGTCTTTTTAACTGAAACTTAGGTATGGATTCCATTTTAAGAATATATACACTGTACAAAGCAATGTTACTGTTTCACACACTCTTATATAAGATATATTTATATTACTATTAAATATTTCAAAGTTGTTTCATTTGAAGACCTTTGGAGAGAAACCATCTCCAACAGATTACTATAGAATTTAAGTGGTAACTCCTAATATAGCAATATATTTTACCCTTCCTACCCAAATTTTATTTTGATTCTTTTGCATTTATCTGTTTACATATGACCACATTCCTTTATACCATCATCTGTACCACCCCAGAAGCCCCATGATCATAAACCATTTTGAAAATTACTGTCTTTAAGTGAAGATGTACACAAACTCAAAGAGATTAAATTCAGTTCAGCAGACATTTACTGATTACTGAACCACTATGTGCCAGACATTTGGGATGTGATTTGAGAAAATAAAATGCTGTCTCTACAGTTTAAAGAATTTTACCAGAATAAATGCTTTTGACCACTGGGCAGTGTTTTATAATTAGTCTTAAGGGAAGCCTGTGAGAATATCTGATAGTAGTTCACATAACCTACTTAAAAACTTCTCTCTAAAGGTTATGTGAATCTTTTGTCTCATTTAATTTGAATGTAATTTAACATAAATTTCTGTGCTTTTAAAGTAAAGTACATGCTGATTTTGAGAGGGACCAAAAGTACTCATATAAATATTTTTTTATCTGGATTTTTTAAATCTGGAAACTAATTGGTATTCCTGCTGGTCTGACAGACAATACTTATAATTTATATTTGGACCTCTTAAGATTTTTATTTCAGTTCTTAACATGTACTTAAATTTTTTTTTTTCTTCAAAAGTGCCTGTTGGCTATTTGGGGGACTTGGTGCTATTCTTTTTTTTTTTTTTAATGATTTTAAATGAATTCTTTCTTTGTATTTACTTAAATTAATATAACCTTTTAAAAATTGATGGTCATTGTCTGGAGAACAAATGACGGAGAACTTTCTGTAGCTTTAAATGGTGTTTAACACTGGATTCTTTAAGGTGTTGGGAAAACTAGATATCCAATTGCAGAAGAATGAAGTTGGGCCCTTACCGTACATGATATGTAAAAAATTAGCTCAGAATGGATAGAAGTCCTAAATGTAAGACCTAAAACTATGCAACTCTTAGAAGCAAACAGGGAAAAAGAATCGTCATTTGATTTGGCAGTGATTTCTTGGACATGACAACAACGAAAACACAGGCAACAGAAGTAAAATGCATAAATTGGGCTACATCAAAATTTGAAACTTCTGTGCATCAAGGGACATAATACAGTGAACAGGCAACCCTAAATCACTATCAGTTAGTGAAATGTAAATCAAAACCACAAGATACCACCTCACATCCACTAAGTTGGTTACTACCAAAAGGCTACTGTTGGCAAGGATGTGCAGAAATCAGAAACCTTCTGCACTGTTTGTGGGAATGTAAAATGGTACCGTTGCTATGGAGTGCCCTATCGTGATTCCTCAAAAGATTAAAAATAGAATTACCAAATTATCCATTAACTCCATTTAGGGGTACATTGCCAAAAGGATTCAAACTGGTTCTCAAAGAGATATTTGTATACCCAGGTTCATAACTGTACTATTCACAATAGCAAAGAGGTATGAACAACCCGGGTGTCCACTGCTGGATGAATACATAAACAAAATATGGTATATATACAAACAATGGAATATTATTCAGCCTTTAAAAAGAAGAAAATTCTGATACATATTTACAGCCTGGATGAACCTTCAGGGTTTTATGCTAAGTGAAATAAGTTAGTCACAAAAGACAAATACTCTCTGATTTCACTTGTAAATATAGTATCTAAAGTTGTCAAGTTCATAGAAAGAGAAAGCACAGTGGTGGTTACCAGGGCCTGTGGTGAGGGGCAATAGGGAGTTATTTAATAGGTTATGGAGTTTTGGTTTTACATGATGAAAAACTTCTCAAGTTTGGTTACACAATAATGTTACTATTCTTTACACTCACTGAATTATACACTTAAAAATTATTAAGATGGTATATTTTATGTTACATGTATTCTATCACAACTAAGCTTTTTAAATATGTAAGAAATGCAACAATCCAATAAATTACAATTATTTTAAAAGATAGAAATTGTTAAGGGGCTTTTTACATTTTAATGGACAAGGTAAATCTAACATAAGCATGATTTACAAAATGTTTTCCTCAAAAAACATAAAAATTGGAGTCTTTGAAAAGATCAGAGATGGCATTCTGGTATCATTTTTTAGTATTCTCTTACTTAAAATAATAATGTTTACCCTATTTTTAAAATAAGGTGATTGATATATAATGTGATTTTGAGTAAATCTAAATGTCCAAGATTAAATTTCATAAATGTCAGTATTTTGTTTTCTAATAGCCTTCCAAATGTTTTAATTAAGTCAAATGATATGGCAGTTAACTGTATTATTACTGTTTTTTAAATTAGTATTTTATTTGTTTTTTCTAGGATCTTAATTCATATCTTGAAGATAAAGTCTACCTTACAGGATATAACTTCACCTTGGCAGATATCCTATTATACTATGGACTTCATCGCTTTATAGTAAGTATTTGAGTAGTCATTGGCTATTTTTTTCTATAATGTTCAGAATGATTTTTTGTTGTTTTCTTGAATTTAAATCAAATATGCATTTTCAACTTAATAAATCAAGATGAAAAGAATGTATTTTTTAATGGAAGGTATGGGTATGTTATGCAAATACTCCGTCCATGTATCCATCAAACATAATAGTTTCCTGTTCTTTGATCTACTTAATTCCTGTTCTTGTTTCTGTTCTTTGCAACTACTTCTCTTGCCACTGTTTGGACATCATCATCATCACCTGAACCCCGTCATCACCCACCTTTCCTCTCTACATCTTAATTCCAGTACCCATCTTCTGTGCTTCCTCTTATCCTTAGCTCTCAATCTTTCTCCCTAATCCCATCATTATCTAAAGTAACTGGGTTCCTTCCCTTTTTTTAAATCTTCCCCATATAACCTAGATCCCCTTTTGTGTAACTTCAATTACGTCCTCCTATTAGCATCTTCAGCTTCTTTGCTCCACTCTACATTCACCACCCTTTCCCTGTCAGTCCTCAGCTCTTGGTCTATCCAAAAAATGCTTTCAGTCCTATATCCAGGCAAAGGTTTGTTGGAAAAATCACAAGGCTACAGATTGGTACCACCATAAATTTAACCACTTTCAGCTGAACTCTCATACTTTTGAGCTTTCTTTCCTCCCGGGCATACTTCCAGACCTTTACCGATTTGCTCAAGCCCCACCACTTTTTCCTCCGTTTTTATCTTCAGTCATTATTACAAAGCCTTCCTCCTTCATTCAGCTAGAAAATGGAGCTGAATCCCCTCCTCTTCCAGCCCTACCTACATACACATCCTCATTCATCTTGTCTCCTTTTTCTGGCCTCAGAAAGCATGTCTTGCTTTTTTCCTCAGAGAAATCCTGTCTTGGTTTTTCCCTTGGCTAATCCTTTCATCTGACCTCTTACTTCAACTTCGTCTGTACCTCCTGCCCCCTTTCTGGATCTTGATCCCAGTTTATATTCTTTCACTTTGTCTGGTCAGTCTCTGCTTTAAGTTGTTTCCCATCTTAAATATGTTTACAGTTCTCTGGCACTCACATGCTCTGTGGGTACTGTAAATGTATTATACATACTAACTCATTGAATGCTTAACAGCCCTGTGAGGTAGGTACTATTATCCACATTTTACAGATTAAAGTCACTGAAGTATAGAGAGGTCAAATTACATTGCTTAGGCTACCCAAGAGAATTTTCATTATTTTAGAAAGCTTATGGTAAGTTTGATTATAAATTTTGCTTTTAAGAAGAATGATGATTTGATTTCTCATCCAAACACTTCTGACAATGAAAAGAAGGCTACTAATAATTACATGCTACAACAGAAATAAAATGTGACTAATGTTCCCCATAATTAGAGGGAGCAAGTCAATTTTAAGCAACATGGAAATTGAGGAGCATCATGTCATATTTCTCTTTGTAACTCTTCCAGCTTTTAGCACAGTGCCTTGCTTAGCTAGCTGCTCATTGAGATTGAGAATATTTAGCACTCTCCATCTCTTTATATTTCCATTCTTGGGTTGTGTATCTTTATAGTGAAAGTACAATCTTCAGTTACACACTTCAATATCAGAAAATCTAAAGTAATCATACTTAAATGTGAAGACAGTTTAAGTAGAGCTGAAGTACTATGATCACAGCAGCCTCATTTCATTCCATTCTAGGTTCAAATATTTTAGTAGCTTTTTGAATTGAGAATGGTAACATGGCACAGATTAACTCATTTTAAAATGCAAAAAGCCTCCAAGGTAAAGAGCATTCACTATTAAGATCTCTAAGTATCTTTTTTCTGGTGGCAAACCTGCAGTCGTCCAACCCGGAAGAATCCGGCATTTGGTTTGAGTAAGACTGCTGCTAAGAAGAGCAGGGCTGCCTTATAAAGAGGAGCCAGAGCAATTCATATCTAAAACAACAGCACACTTGCTGATGTCTTTAAAGTATTTAAGTGTGACACTGCTTAATTTTAAAGCTTCGTATTAAGAGAAATATCATCTCTCATCCTACATAAACATATGTGATCCTGTACATGTGATGCCTGTCTTCAGACCAGTGAAGGCCTGTCAGGACCTCCCGGCTTGGTGTAGCATTGAGCTGTCATTAGGAAGGAGAACATTTCTGCCATCTAACTTAAAAAAAAGAAAGATGGCAACAATGAAGTGTATTTACATTTTTCTGTTTTCTGATTTAGGAGGTCATGTGGTAGGGAGAGGAAATATTCTGAGAAAGTGGGAGCTTGTGTGGAATTTCTTTGCCAGCAGAGTAAAGAAGGTCCTAATTCCATAATGAAAAATAGTCACAGCACTGGCTGCAATTATTTAATTACGAGACTAGGTGCCCTCAAGGGCCTTTGGTTTTTAGGCAGGTTAGAAATGTTTCGCTCAGTGCTGCATGTTAAAACTAGGGTTATGTTAACGTATTTAATGATCTATACCTACTTACAGTTCAGTGGAATGTAGATCCACTTCATATGCAGCCTTTATGATTATGAAGCCTGCTTATTAAGGATATTATGCTTATCTTTTTCAAAACAGAATTGAGTGGAATAATATGTAAATCATTCTGTTAAGCATTGCTTTGGGTTCATAAAATGATTCCATAACCAAAGCATCTCTCCTCCCATGTCCAAGTGTAGGCAAAGTACTTTGGAGAAATAAACATATCCTCAAAGAACAGTCTTCACAGACTAAAACTTATACTGTGACAGAATTGCACTGGGCATCAAATGACATCCCTCTGAGTAAAGTGTAAATACACCCCATTGAGAAAAGAATAATTACTAGGTATTAAATTCAAGCAGAGTTCATATCAGTTACCTGCTCATATTCATCAGACAAGTTCTTACATTTTGTTTGCTTTGGCTGGATATATTTTTTTGCCCTCATGCACTCATTTGTTTGTTCATGTTATTAAATACATAATATATAATCAGTGCAGTGTATGCGATGGCAGTTGGGAACCTTCAAGTCATCAAATAATCCAACTGTATTTTGTTCAGTGTGAGCTCAAGTTTAATTGTGGCTGAGTTATTCTAAGATCTGGTCTATCTTAATTCCCTTTGAGGAATATTACGTTGTTCTTCCTTTGTTAAACTGCCAGCTAGTGTGGCTGTTTTATTAACACACCAGTGACTCATTGCTTTCTTAATGTGATTTCACTAGTAGATATCAGTCCCTATGAACAGACTGTTACCCAAGATTATTAAAATCCTTTGTAGCATCATGTGCTGCTTGACTATAAGATTGCTATCAGTTGAAATGTATTTGTTTTGAAGTTCGGGACACCAGTAAAAGTATGCCGTTTTTTACAGAGGAAAAATAAAAGAAATAGCTACAGAGCAGTTCAGGAGCGTTAGCCATAAAGCATGTCCTCAAGGCAGAGTGGTGCCACTTGGAAAGGGAGCAAACCCGCATTCCACCCTTCTCTGGAATGGGTGGCTTAGAGTGTTTCTCATGTGTCTTCATGGGAAATTAGTGACTGAGAATATTATGTGTTTGGCTTTAAAGTTCAAACTAGGTATAGAGTGCCAGTATAAATGAAAAGGAATGACTAGGCAGAAAGAGCCCAGCATCACTGTAGGCACACTGGCATGTAGGCCAGTAAGAAGCAGGAAACGGTAACTAGAGCAGTTGCATTGTGTTTCCTTTTGTACAAAAAGAAAAAAATTTGGCAACTAGAAAGGGGTGATGGAAGTACAATGTTGTAAGTGAAATAGCTCAGGGGGTCCCATCTGAAAAGTTCTAAAACACTAAGTTTGATGGGGAGGAAATCTGTTTTTTATTTGTACAGTAAGTTCAGAAATAAGATTCTACAAAAAATGTAGCAGAGAGTAAATTAAGGTCAGTCATAATTTTCTCACAGTCAAGGGACAAGTTCCAAAGTTTAAACTGAAGGAGATTAAGTGGTAACCTGATTGTTTTGTAAAAGTTCTGTGTATTTCTGGCAAAATATTCTGAAGGTAAATGAACATTCTCTAAATTTTCTGAGGGAAAATTTACATTATCTAAAATGGAGCATCTAGTTAAAAATTATGGAATAAATTAGGAAGTGTTTGAAGAAGCTTGGGAAGCTCTTGGAATAAAAATTATTTGGTATTCTGGGTCTGCTCAATAACCCTTAAAGACTCTAAATGAAATTTTTAAGTTGGAGAATATTGATTTTCTGTGTGTTGCATTTTTTTGTTGTTGTTACTGTTTTAAATAATAGTCCTGATAGCAGCATATCCTGGTCCTGTATGATAGCAAATGCTGTTCTGAAATATGAACAGTAAACATAATTGCCCTGTTTACCCTGTTTCAAAATTTTGGAGTGAACAACTTAAACATAGATCAAATAAGTATTAGTACTTTATTGTTTGGAAATGCTTTCTTCTCCGTGTATTTTAACTATTCTGAAAAATACCTCACAAAATTCTGTGAACTGCCGCATCCACTGAAGATAGTTTGGCTTTACTGCAAACAGAATTTAGGTCTCTTGTTCATCTGAGCTATACGCCACTGGAAATAGCCCTTCCTCCTTATATTAAGCAATAATCACTTGAAATTAAATGAGTCATAGTTTTTTTGAGTGAAGTTTTTCCCCAGTTTAGTAGAAAGGAAGCAGTAGCCTACATGTATATATATGCCAGCTCTCTATAAATACATATATATTTGAGTTTACAAAGGTAAATAGATGCCAATAAACTGTTTTTTAATGTGTGCTAAAAAAATATTGGACAAAGAGCCATATCTTAGCCTTTTGGAATCTATTCTCTTCTTTCCTCTATCTTCCAATAAAGTAAAAAACTCTTTGAGCCCACAGATCCTGGATTAATGTAAATTTTGCATTTGTTGAAAACTTGAGACTTCCTTAGAAAGCACATCTTGTTTTGAACTGTACAGAAAAGGCATTAGACAAACAGCTCTTCCAAGTGGCTCAGACTTCTACTCCTATCTGAATATGTTGGCTTTTGAGAACTGGGTGGTAGTGGTTCTTGTTTTTTCTTCCAGTTTCTATCTCCTGTTCAGATGATATTAATAGCTGTACTTATGTATTGTCTGTGTTGTGTGTGTGTTTTAATCTCTAGGTTGACCTGACATTTCAAGAAAAGGAGAAATATCTTAATGTGTCTCGCTGGTTTTGTCACATTCAGCATTATCCAGGCATCAGGCAACATTTGTCCAGCGTTGTCTTCATCAAGAACAGACTATATACTAATTCCCACTAGAAGATACCCGTGCTGTACAGAAGAGTGATTAAAAATATTCTAAATGGGAAGTGTATTCAGGACCAGAGGACTAACGTAAATTTATATTCATTCTTTATTTGTTGAAGTGGATAGAATTTTTAAAGTATAAACTTATGTCTGAATGTTTAATTTGTTCTGTAGTTGAAGTTCTGCAATTTTTTTTTTGGTATCATTAATCTACAATTACAGAAAGAACATTATGTTTACTAGGTTCCCCCCTTCACCAAGTCCCTTCCATATACTCCTTCATAGTCACTGTCCATCTGCGTAGTAAGATGCTGTAAAATCACTACTTGTCTTCTCTGTGTTGCACAGCCCTCCCCATGCCCCCCCATGCACTGTACATGCTAATCGTAATGCCCTCTTTCTTTTACCCCGCCCTTATCCCACCCTTCCCACCCATCGTCCCCAGTCCCTTTCCCTTTGGTAACTATTAGTCCATTCTTGGTTTCTGTGATTCTGCTGCTGTTTTGTTCCTTAAGTTTTCCTTTGTTCTTATCCTCCACATATGAGTGAAATCATTTGGTACTTGTCCTCCGCTTGGCTTATTTCACTGAGCATAATAACCGTCTAGCTCCATCCATGTTGTTGCAAATGGTAGGATCTGTTTTTTTCTTATGGCTGAAGTTTTGCAGTTTTTTATGTAAAAATTCAACAGCAGTCAAAACTTGAGGTGAGATCAAGTTATAAATTACTTTGTTTAGATAAGAAATTTATTTTAATAGAAGTTGCAAATCAGTTGCTTGATCATAAAAATATAGCCCTTTCAGTCGTTGATCTATTTGGCTATTTGATGTTTTTCATATTTTAAAATCCATTTCCACTTATGGATATTTACAGTAGTTTGTTTATTAAGAACTACATAATAAATTGTGCCAAGGATCCAGAAAGGGAAGACAGGTGGGTTTGTTTTCAAATATTTATGTGAGCCAGTAAATGTGGTTGAAAAACTCCTTTGTTTTCTTTCTTTACTTGTAGTCAGTGTTCACTGAGGTCAAATTAACTGCCGAGCTGCCCCAGCGGCAGGTGGGATAAGATATATTCACTTGGGTTAATGGTTCTGCTGCTGTCGTACTCATGGGAATATGCAGTGGCTAACAAAAAAATGGAAAATCCTGGTAATTTGGGACTTGATGACTACTAGGATTTTGCTAAACTAAAAGCCAACTCATAAAAGGTTGCTATTAAGCACTACATGAAGACACTATTAAAAAATTTATACATTTTCTAACACTTACTGGCTGAGTTAAGTAAGTAATCAACTATTGAGAGCCGAAGAGCTTGTATTTCCAAATAACAAGAAAATTAGAGTCCTTGAGCACGTTACTGTTTCATGGTGTTGACTCTTGGTGCTGATGTGAGTCGAGTGGAAAGAGCAGGCTCAGAACATATATTCAGCCCTTTGGTTGAGTCCTGCTTTTATCACTTAATAGCTGCATGGCCTTAAGCAAATCAGTTAACTGTATTTTCTAAATTTGTAAAAGTAAAAATAAAGTTAACTCTTAAGTTATGAGGGTAAACTGAGGCACTCTCTGTGGAAAAGCCTGTGGCTTTCAGTAAAGGTTTCTCTTTTTGTTTGTAGGAGCCCCTGCCCATTTTTGCCCTTCATTTCCAATTCAAGAGATTTAATAGCCAAGTGTGTGAGTATATCATATCAAGACAGTTCTCACAGGTTTAGATTTCACAATTCATTTTTAATTATATAAAATGGCCTTTTAGTAGAAACTGTAGATTTGTATTTGCATGTTCAGGGACTGGCCGGCTCAGGTAACCTTGGGAGTCAGTGTGTGTGCCATAGAGGCAGGTCCAGTCTGTGACTTTCAATACACACTGTCCCCACTAGATGTGCTGCGCATGTTCCGCATCATGTCTCACTGCTGCAGATTACTCCCCCTGATGCTCTTCCCTTCTCCCCTCAACTGCAGAGGGAGGTGAGCAGGACAGACAGGACAGACTTCCCAGCCTTCCCATCCCAATCATTTCATTCCTTCCCTTCAGTGTAGGTTGGCTGTAAGTAAAGGAGGTCACCTGTTTACCTCTTTGACAAATATCACCCTTCCCACTTCTGCCTTGTGAGTCTTAACACTCTGAATCCCCCTATCTGCTAGTCAGTTTACAGAAGTGCACAACGCTGCTTCAACAGACAGTACCTCCTACTGCAGTGTGCCTGGACTTTGTGCTGCTAACTTAGATCTTAAAGGGTGAAGAGATGGCAGAAATACAAAGACCTGGCTCCTGTAGGCAAAGGTTAGGTAATGTTCTCATAATTAAATCAACACATTCCATTTCCTTATACAAATGCTGCTGTTCATCATGGGTCATTTATGTCTGGCACTTCTCTGCCTGAAATGCCCTTTCCTTCTCACTTGATAACCTCTTCAGTATTCAACTTTGTGATGTCCTTCTGAAAGTCAAGTCTGTCACGAGCAACCCCTCTTCCCCATTCCCCTGAACTGACACAGACATCATTGTACTATTTTTGATTATTTGTCTCTTCCACCAGACTGTTAATTCTTTGAGACAGAGACTGTCTTTTCCCTTGCATATCCAACCCTCAAAACAAAGTAGGGCACACAGCAGCAGATACATTGTTGAAAAAATGTAGAATTTTTTAAAGTCTGTTTTGTGTTGACTAAGAAGAATGTGTGAACTACAGTTAAGTATAACTGTATCTAGCAGAAAAAACAAATAACATTAAAGTGAGTTGTTTTTCTCTTGTGTAAAGATAGACAGCCCACAATCGGTATTGGGCATCTAGCTCACATCTTTCTGCTTCTCTATACTGAACAAATTGTTTCCTTTTTCAAGTTCAACTTATGGTGCAAGACAGCTATGGGAGTTACAGATATCAAGTTTGTGATCAAGGCCCAGAATCAAGGAAAAGAGGAAGGACAAAAAGAATCTTCCAACTGAGTCAGTCCACTTGAAGAACCTTTCCCGGAATCCCTATTCAGCGTTATCTATTTACATCTCTTTGGCCATCCCACTGGGAGGGAGGCCAAAATCTGTGCTCTTTCAATGAGGAAGAAGGAAAAAAGGGAGACTAGGTCAGCAGCTAGGTATCTTGTCATATTAAATAGTATTTAACTGAGAAAATACCTTTTGAATGCCACATAATCAACTTGTAAAAAAAAAATTAGTGAATTGTTGGCATTCCATGGATCATCGATTTGCACAGAATTCAAATACAATAGAAGAAATACTTTTCACTGACCTCAATTTTCATGATTCAAAAGTTATTTTAGGATCCTGCATTATTCAGAGTTACCAGGAAGATCTGTTAATGTACTTCTAACAACAAAAATAGCTGACATTTACTGGGCATGTAGTATGTATCTGGTTACATTCTAAGTGCTCCAAGTGAATTCACTCCTTTATTCTCTTCTTGCAGGTAAGGAAACAGGCACAGATTGGTTAAGGAACTTGCACAAGGTCACACAACCAGTATCAAGAGGCTGGGATTCAGACAAGTGTCTGGCTCAAACTTAACTTGTAACCACTTTACCAGTGTGCCAGTAAAGCTCTGCTTAATCAACTTGAGAAATTAATTTTTACCTAGAGAAAAGCTACCCTAGGCAGTGGATAAATGTATAGATAACTTCAAGAATAAATGAAATGGTTACACTATGTATACACTAAAACTCCTGACTTGAACTCTAAACAGATAAATTCTGTGATAAGTGAATCATAGCTCAATTAAGCACTTAAAAAAAGTGGAGTCAAATACATCAATCTCACCATAAATTTGTTATGACACTTTGGATAAGTCACTGCTCATGAAATTGCTTTTATGAAATAGAGGTAAAGATTACTGAGCTCATTGATTTGTTTTCAATGTATAAAACTTACTGGCGTAGTGCTAAATACACAGAATGTGATCAGCGAAGGACAAACCACTGCAGAGGATCGTAAAATCATAACCTGTGATTTTATAAGGTAAATTCTTAAACTAATTGTCTTTTCCCACCTGCTGTCCCTGCACTTGCACAACATGAGCCCATCTGAGAGAAGACAACTTGGCAGAGCATTCTGTGATTTTGGTAAATCACGAATTCATCTTATTACCAGTTTGGTCCTCATTTTTTCAAGCTATGTACTTCTAAAAGATCAGTGAGACTTCTGTAAAAGAAAGTGGGGCCATCTTTGTTCATGCTATTCCTTCTGAAGAGTGAATTCCCCTTCCAACCCATTTTCTTTCTGCAATTCCCAGAAGCACTGATCATTTAACAATCCCTCAAATACGTACTTAGCACCTACTGTGTATCAGAATCTGTGCTGAGCCCCAGAGATAACACAATTACATCCTTGCTCTTATAGTGTACAGTGAACTAATTCCTGAAACTGTAAAACATTCTTTGGGAGGCTGCCAGCTATTCAGCACTCTTAGAAAGTAAATAGAAGTAATCAATAACCATTTACCAAGCATCTACTATGTTCCAGACTATACCAGACACTTTACAACATTCACATGAACTCACGTTAATTTAGGAGCTGGGAGAGGCAGATACCCACATGCTCATTAGACCATGGCCAGAGTGATTGGGAATTGTACAATTTCAGAGTTAGAGGACATAATCTGTCACCATATTATGCAGTGGGGTTGATTAGATTGTCATGGCTAGATACAGGGCTCTGTCTCCATATTCCACATGCAACTTTTGAAAACAAAAAATGTCAAATAGAGAAGGATCATTCTTTAGTCAAGGATCCATGAATTTTCACTAATTGAACACTGGTTTTAAAACAGGAATAATGAAATTGGAGACAATATTAAAAAGCCATTTGTCTTTAGGCACAGTTATAGCCAAAGCATCCAAGATGTGATGAAGCTTGTGGAGTTTTGTGGTTGTAATCTCTAGTAACAGCTGTTACATTCGGTAAAAAAAAAAAAAAAAAAAAAAGGCTTACCTTCAGGAATGACATAATCATCTCTCCATCTACTGGTTAAACTCCACCCCGTCCCCATCCAGAATTATAATAAGATTATTGCCCTAAGGTTTTTAACAAGTATGTGGGTATTCTCATTTTTACTCCCTGTTAAACATAGGTCCTCTGTTGGCTCCACCCACTTGAGCATGAAGCCACAGTTAACCAGCCAGTAATAGGCACATTTGGTGTCCTGCAGGAAGGGGAAGATGCCCACTGCAGGTGCACCATATGAGTGATGCTGAAAGTTCTTCCAGAAAAGCTTCAAGATGTGTTGATAAAAATTTAAGCAGACATTGTTAGGAAGAATATAACTATTATAATCAGGTACATGTACATCACAATGAAAGATAAAATGTACAATTATTTGACAAGTAGATTAGAATTCTTGTGAAGTATAGTGTTTTCATTTCTAACATTTAACTTCATTCCTTCAAAAAAAATGCTACATGAAGTTTAATAATCTAGCTTTGGCAGAGATGTGGTGGTTTGATGGATTAGAGCATTTAGCTTTTTACCCCTGAGAGCAATATTTCTTTCTCTATGTAATTATATAATCTGCTCCCACCCATTACCAGGGCACTAAATTTCAAATTCTCCATACACCTAATCAGGCTGCTACATATCTGGCCACCTTAATTTTAGTCGTGATTTATTGAAGCTGAATTACATTCCTAACTTCCTCGGTGAATTTTATTGCAAAAGCATTGGGGAGGAAGTTACCATCATATATCTCTCTTTCTGGGCAGAGCTTTTAGGTACACAAGGGGCTCTATATCCCACTGCTTCATGTCTTGTATGCTGGGTTTATTAACACTGTGAAGCCCAGCTCTAGGGTTGCATACAGGCATATCAGAGATAAGATGGGGAATTTGATTTTGCAATAATGACTATTTGCTGTAGTTCCCATTCCTGCAGGCTCTGCCTTTATTCCCAATACTGCTGGTGAATAAAACTAATTCCAACTGCTCCCTAATCTAGCAAAACTCGTCTTTCACTTACAAGAGAGGCCAAAAGAAGGAAGTCAGGAGAATCTCAGATGTTGGCCATTTTTGCTATTATGTCTCAAGGATTTCTCTTCCCATTATCTTAATTCTTTTAGAAATGTTTACATCTTTTAAACTTTCATTTCTTTGTGGGGAGAGTGAGAGCTTTTGCATCATTTCCAGCCAGATGAGTTACTCTGGTGGCTCATTCGTGCTGTCTCTTCCACTTCAGGGGCTGGGTCCCTCGGGCTAGCCAGCCATATTATGGATCCTGCAGATCCTCACAGATTTGGCTTGCCATTTCTGCTGAGTGTCATCTGTCCTTGCAGTCTTGCAGTGGATGATTTTTGTCCTACCTAACATCATCTGCTTGAAGAATTTGTGCCTCGCAGATCTGTCTATCCAAGTTAAGCTTGAAATACACTAGCCACACAATTAATTTGACAAGGCATAGTGCCAAACAATAAGGCCACACGCTTGCTTTGACCAAGACCACAAACTTCCAGCCATTTGATTACCAATTCCAAAGTTCCTGCAGTGCAGTCCATGAGTTAGTCTATTCATGTAGTGCAGGTTATCCTTCCTCCACTGCCCGACCTTTCCCTGACCTTCTGCAACACACACACACACGCAAGCACACACATCCTTATCTTAAAAGCCCTTAAGATAGTTTTAACCTTCATAGCTTTGCAGTTCCTTACTGTTTCCAGCATTTGCCTTAAACCGTGTCACTTGGATAAAAGAACTCTAGAGGTGGATACATTGTCAGAATTTTGGGGAATGGGTCACAGACACTTCACTCAAACGGTGGTTGTCAGGAGTTAGCATGCATGAGAATCCCCTGAGGCTTCTCAAACCACAGACTGCTGGGCCCCCATTTGAGTTTCTGACTCCAGAGGTCTGATGTGCCCACATGATGAGGGCCACTATACTACATCCGTCTGGAGCTTGGATGACAGCCAAGTATAGAGCAGCTGAATTCATCCAAATACTCATGCTTTTCGTTTTTGCATAGCTGAGTCAAACTTCCAGGTGTGGCCAGTGCGGTGATATGGACCTCCGCATTCCGATCAGTTGGCCCTACCATAGCAGCCTTCAGAAAAGTGCTGAGTGATCTCCAAGTGACATAGCTACACTAGAAGCCTGTCTGGGGGAATAAGCAGGATTTGGTACAAGAAGGTTCGGTACAGGGCTAGAAAGTTGCTGCCATCCAGAAGACGGCTGATGCCACTGCACAGCCTGCTACTCGGCACCTTCACTCTCAGGCCTAGTTGGCCAGATGCAGCTCCAAGTCTTCATGAGATGAATGTGCAATAATATTTACTATCTTACCCCAAAACACCCCCTTAAGCTTGTCCCCTCCTCAGTTTCTTCCATTTAATTTTCTTAACCTTCAAAAATAGTTAGACAAAAGGAGATAAACAGTAATGCCAACAGAAAATGTTCCAGAATAAATTTCATAAACTGGATTGATAAAAAGCAAAATAAATTTAGTAGTCCCCCCTCCCCAGTATGCCTGTCCTTGATGGGCTTACACTAAGGAATGAATTTCAATTTTGTTCTCAAAGTACATGTAATTAAAAACATGTTTTTATTTTCTAATTTTCATAAGATTGAATATGGAGGTAGCAGATTATTTACCCCAAATCAGAACTTTACTTCTACTAAATTAACATTATTTCCATGATTTAGATATCTTAACTCTCAAAAAAAAAATAATTGGAAAAATCCCTTTGTAATTCCATGGCTTCAAGTGCCTGATTTTTTTGTTCAAGTGTCTGATATTGAGTCTCTGAAAAATGGTCTTATACAAAGTGCTATGCAGGTAAAAAAAAAGAGCTATTCTTAAAAACACAAGAGAAGCACTTAGGGTGTGATTGCATTTATGTAATATTTTTGAAATGACAACATTTTAGAAATGGAGGATACATTATTTATAGGTTGGGGTTGGGGGCCAGGGCAGGGACTGAGAGCAAGGTAGGTGTGGTTACACTGGGGAATCCTTATGATTTTGGAACTGTTTCATACCCTGACTGTGATGATGGCTGCATGCACTTACACATGATAAAATTGTAGAGATCAAAACACACAAGTAAAAGGGAATATCTGAATAAGATTGGTGGATTGTATCAATATCAATATCCTGGTGGTGGTATTCATATTTGCAAAATGTTACCATTGGAAGGAAATGGTAAAGCCTACAAGGAATTGCTCTGTATTTCTTATAAGTGTATGAGAATCCACAATTATCTCAATAAAAGTTTCACTTTTAAAAAATGTCTCATCAATTCAAAGACAACAAGAGCTAACAAGACCATCAGGGAGATGACACGGAGTCCTCTTTAGCCTCAAAACTGAGATTCCACAGGCCACAGACCAAGGACACAGCAGCTGAAGGTGCAGGGCAGAACAAAGCAACCAACACAGCTCCTGTCTGATTCTCTCCTCATTGTCTGAGCTGTAGTTTAAAGATTTCTGGAAAAGGGGAGAAAAACAGAGTCATGCACTGGCCCTGCCCACCCCAGAGAACATGAGTGGGCAGAATAACATGAACAGCTAGAACACATATCTACAGGCTAAAAGCAACAGAACTGCAGGAAGGTAATTGTATAGTGATGTAATATTGCACCCTCTGGTAGACACTACCTTCAGTGAGGGAAGGAAAAGGCTGGGCAGTCTAGCTCACTGCTACATCTCAGCCCCTAGCCCCACACTTGGCACACAAAGTGCTCAGTACATACTTGTAAGATGCATTTGAATGAAAAAATGAAGAGCCTTGCCGAGTTAGTATGGCTTCTCTGTTCCCTCCAAATCTCCCTTCCCTGATCTGTCCTCACCCACCACCTGCACTGACATATACACAGGGACCAAGGCTGTTTCTGCCACATCCAAGTTGGGCAGCCATTTAAGCTCTCTATGCCTCAGCCTTCTCTTTTGTAAAATGAGGTAATAACAACTTCAAAGGGCTGCCGTGAGGATTAAATGAGTTAATACATGTAGAGCACCTGCAACATTATATGTGTTCAGTTGCAACACAATTCTGACACTGATTACCAGAGTTAGCTAAGACCTCACAGGTAAGGGCACCATACTTCACACAACCCCTCATTTCAGACACCAACCATGAGGCCACCTGCACTTCTGACCAGCTGTCCCCAAATTTGGGGGGGCTCAACACTTTACCTCTTTGTGTTTGGTAATTCGCTAGAATGACTCACAAAGTCCAGGAACTGCTGTATTTAGGATTATAGTTTTCTTGTAAAGGATACAAATCAGGACCAGCCAAATAAACAGATTCATGGGGTGAGGTTAGGGAGGGTCCCAAACTAGAAGTTCATGTGCACTCAGTATGCCTCACCCTCTGGGCACATTGATATATGATTACCAACCAGGAACTCACTGGAGCATTGGTGTTCAGTAGGTTCTTGTTGGGGTTCATTACATAGGCAAAGACGATCGTCCGTGTGACTGAACTCTGTCCAACCCCTCTCCTCCCCAGAGGGCGGGCTCATGTTACATGGCTCAAAGCCCCAACTCTCAATCACATGGAGGTTTTCAGGCATGGCCAGTCCCCATCTTGAAACCATCTAGGGGCCCATATAGTCATCCTGTTAGCATCAACTCAGGCCACCATGAATAACAAAGACACCTATCATTTAGGAAATTCCAAGGATTTAGAGGTTATCTTTCAGGAACCAGGGACAAAGTTAGTCAAATTCTTTATTACACAACATAAATAAAGCTTACTGAATTGAACAGGCAGAGAAGGTAAAGAAAGCATTCCAGGAAAGGGATGTCTAAAAATAAAGAGGCAGAAATATATCTGGCACAGTCATAGCACAGTAGAAAGCCCCCTAGCTGATCGGGCTTTGCCATTTTAGAATGCACCAGCCTTGACATTGAAAGACCAGGGCTCTGACCATGGTTCTGCTATCTGGTAACAGTGGTGCTGCCTAGTGGTTGTGTCAAGATCACTGTAAGCCTTTTAAATCCTTTATGTGAAAGTTGGGCATAATATAAACACACAATAAATACACAACTTAGTGGTTTAAAAGAACAAAAATTTATTATGTTTCACAAATTGTGGGTTGACTGGATCCAGGTGTTGGTATGGGCTCCACTGCAGTCCATGGGAATGCATGCAGCTTGCTGATAGCCGGATCAGATCTAAGGATCTAAGGAGGCCTCCCTCACACAGCTGGACCTGGTGCCAAACTGCTAGGGTGGCTCAGTACTCACCCACACAGCCTCTCTAATAATCTTTCATCTTCCAGGGCTTCTCCGCACAATGGCTTTTCTACAGAAGGAGAGCCTGAACATCCTGGCAAGAGAGCAAAAGCAGAGACTAGCAGGTGTCTTAAGGTCTAGAGCTGGCACAGCATTTTTCATTGGTCAAAGCAAGTCATAGGGCCAGTCAAGGGGATGGGAAACAAACTCCATCTCTTGATGGGAGGAGCAGCATGTTACATGTGCGTACAAGGAGGGGAGGAACCACTGCAGCCATCTCTGGAAACTACCATATTCCCTGACCCTCAGTTTATTCACCTGAGAATGGGTATTTTAATGTCTACATCAACTATATTAATGAGAACATTAAGAGACATATGCTATATGGTATATGATAGCATTTTATAAGTTGTAAAGTGCCAAAAGTACAAAATATTACAGTGGTGGGTGATGAAAGCAGATTAGAAAAATGAGAGCAGATTGTACAGGGCTTTAAAAGGAGATACAGGAGGTTATTGTAATAATAATAATAATACAGTTTATTGAGCATTTCCTCTGTACCAGGCACTGTACTAAGTGCTTTACAGGTATCTTCTGTAAATTTTTTATCACAACTTATAAAATGGATATTTTATTGCCATTTTACAGAAAAGGAATTGCAGGAAAATTGGCAGAGCCAGGATTAAACCCAGTTTTGTCTGGTTCCATACTGCACCGAGTTCTTTTATCACTTACCATCAATTGGAAGTTGGGTAGGAGAGAAAGCAGCTACCCCAGAACTCCTAAAACATAATGTTTGGAGGTGGAACCTAGAATCTACATGTTTAATAAACACAATGTGGGAGAAGCATTCACCCTCACTGAACTATAATGAGCCTTCCCAGGATTTTTAGTAAGTCAAAGACACTAAGAAGACAATATTAGAGGAAATTTTGGCTTGCAGGTGCAGAAGAAAACTTGAATAACAAAACTGCCTAGAAGTGGGGAGAATAATAAAGGACTTCAAAAATAATTTAAAATAATTAAATTTTCTAGGGGTTGATTCTAAAGCTACAGAAATCAAAGTAAGACTAGAAAGGTTAGAAGCCAGACTCAACAACTTGCCAAGTTACATTTTATTTATTCCCTGCTAGAAAACCCCAAGTCCATGTTCACCTCACCCAGCTGGCTACCATCATTTCAGGTCTGAGGACAAATACGTGCCCCCTCTGAGAAATCTTTCCTGGCCTCTTCCCATCCCCAAGTGTTTGAAATGTGTGCGACACTTTTCTCCATCCTATCATTTATAGACGCTGTTATTGTAAATGCTGGTTTATGTTCCTACTTTAGCACTAGACTGCCGGTCCCTTGAGGGTAAGGACTGTGCAGAAACAGAGGAGGGAGAAAGGGAAAGATTGAGATATTCTTAGACTCACTGGATGAACACAGGAAGTGAAGGGGCCACTGCAAAATCATTGTCTGGACTTTTTAACAGGTATGAAGACTCGTTGATAATACAAAGATGAACTTCATGTCTTTTGCCAATGATGAACTTTATGGATTTTACCAAACAGCAGCAGTTAGATACATGCCAACCCCGTAGCTGCCTCTTCATGAATACAGCAATTCAAAACAGTCTAGCAAACCTGTCCCTTCCATATTTAGGTCTATCTTATCTTAGTCCATATAACAACTTATTGAAATTTTGTAAAAATGCTAAGAACAGATACATTTTTTTCCTCACATGGGAACGAATGACTGAAAGGTGATATGGTCAAGTTCCTTAAACTCTCAGTTTCTTCACTTGTTAGAAATGGTAAAACCGTTCCCGGAGTGGCCATGATGACGAAATGCGGCAATGCACGTCAAAACGCTTTATAGAACATTTATGGCCGGTAATGTAGACAATAGTTAATATAGATAATATGTTAGCATTACCAGTATTATTCCAGGACTGTACCCCCTCTAGCCCAGCGTCTCTAAAGCACAATAAATTCCAGCTGGTTTAGGGAGGAATAACAGAGTTCAACTCCAATTTCCAAGCACCTTACTGTTCTGGCAGCATTTGCCCTAATCCAGCATGGCGGTATCGGCTTCTGCAAGTTTACATTCCTGGCTGCGCTACAGGGACCATACCAGAACCGCACGCTGGGTAGGCTCAACTTCCAGGACACCTTTTGATGACGCCAAACGCGCGCCTGGAAACTGGTCAGAGCCGGTTTACGCAGGCGCAACCTGCGCGACGCAGCCGCGGTGGGCGAAATTGGTCGGGATGAATGGTGGAGGGACAGAGACCCCTGTGAGTTATGAGACCTCCCCGAGCGGCGGCGACAAGAAAAGGGACTCGGTTGGGACTGCGGGCTCGCCAGCGCACCTCATTATCAAGGGTACGGAGTGGTAGGGCTCTCCCTCAGGTGGAACCCAGCGTAGCCCCACCTCCCAGACGGCGCCCTCTGACCCGACGCCGCACTCCAGGTTGCCCCACAGCTGCCTGGCGACCTCACGTTTGCGGGGGTGCAGGAATCGCGGCCGGTTCCCGTCCGTTTCTCTGCGCTAGATGCTTCCCAATAGCAAGCCAACCCTGTCCCTCTACTTCCTCGAAAAATCCGAAGAAAGGAGCCCTGGGGCTCGCCTCCTCTCCTCCTCCTTATGCCCGGGACCCGGGGCCCAGAGCTGCTTTGGACTCCCCGCCCTACCGACCTGTCACGCAGAGAGCACCGAGCTTGGGAGTCAGGAAGAGCCTGCTTCCACGTTTAGGTCACTCATGAGTTGCGCGACGTTGGCTCCATTGCTTTACCCACTCTGGGTCTGCAAGGAGTAAACGAGATATGAAAGCGTTTGAAAACACTGAAACGCCATACACCCGTACAGATGTCCATTTGTCCTGTCTGCTTTGTGCTGGGAGAAGGGTGCAACCTGCTTACAACCTGGATTCTCACAGAACCAGAATTAAGTTTGATTACCAAAGCTCACAACAACCCTGTTTCCCGCAGATCGTTGACAGATACTGCACTTTCTCATTGCCATCCACAGTAACCCAGTGCTTACGCTTGTCAGCACCACAATGCTGTCTGTAGTGTTGAAGCCCTTGTAGGATTCTCGAGTCCTTCAGAACTACCCGGAAAATGGCATTTTTGGGTTGCCGCGTATTTCATTTTATCCTTGTCTGTCAGGATTCTGGGCTGCCCTAACACAGCAGGCTGTGGCAATTTATTTCTAGACTTCAGATTGTCTTTTAAATAAATTAGGAGTGCAGGAGTGTTACATGGGTGTTAGGACTAAATTATAATTGGGTATACATGGAATCTTAGTGAACTAACATTTTTTTTAATTGTAAGAATACATGTAACAAAATTCACCATCTTAACCAGTCTTTACAGTGACTTTTTGAAGTATATTTGATATGTAATATTGGTTTCAAGTATATAACATAGTGATTCGACATTATTAAATGCTGTAGTTTAATATAAATTATGTAAATAATGTATTCTATTAAATGCCCACCCCAATTTGTGTAGTTACTATCTGTCAACATAGAAAGATGTTATAGAATCCATTAATCTATTGACCTACACTTTGGCTGCTTCCATATCTTGGCTACTGTAAATAATGTGGCAATAAACATAGGGGCCCATATATCTTTTCGAATCAGTGATTTTGTTTTTTTCGGGTAAATTCCTAGAAGTGAAATAACCCAGTTATTGTTGTTCCTATTTTTATTTTTTGAGGACCCTCCATACTACATTGCATAGTGGCTGGACCAATTTACATTCCACCAACAGTGCAAGAAGGTTCTTAACCATTTTTTAAGGTACAGTTCAGGGGCATGAAGTACATTCACATTGTACACCATTACCACCACCCATTTCTAGAACTTTCTTAGCTTCCCAAACTGAAACTCTACCCTAATTTACCTTCCTTCCCTTTTCCCAGCCCCTAGCAATCTCCATTCTACTTTGTCTCTGACTATAACTACTCTAGGTTCTTCATGTGAGTGAAATCGTGCAGTCATTTGACCTTTTGTGACTTGCTTGTGTCACTTGGCATAGTGTCCTCAATATGCATCCATGTTGTAGCATGTGTTAGGATTTCCTTCCTCATTAAAGCTAAATAACATTCTGTTGTATATATATATACACCACATTGTGTGTATCTTTTCATCTCTGGATGGTCACTCAGGTTGCTTGCACTTTTTGGATATTGTGAATAATGCTGTCATGAATATGAGTATCCAAATAGGTTTGAGTCCCCGCTTTCCATTCTTTTGGGTATATATCCAGAACTGGAATTGCTGTTCTAATAATAATTATATTTTTAAGTTTTTGAGCATCACCGTACTGTTTTCCATAGTGGCTGCACTATTTTATATTCTTACAGTGTATGAGGGTTCTGACTTCGCCACATCCTCTCCAACAGTTCTTTTTCTCTGTTTTTTTTTGGTGGTGGCCCTTCTAATGGGTATGAGGTAGTATTTTGTAGTTTTGATTTGCATTTCCTTCTTGATTATTGATTTCAAACATCTTTTTATGTGCTTATTGGCCATTTGAAAATCTTTGGAGAAATGTTTATTCAAGTCCTTTGTCCTCTTTTAAATCAGGTAATTTGCTCTTTGTTGTTGAGTTGTAGTAGTTCTTTACCCCTTTTCAGATTTCATGATTTGCATGTACTTTCTTCCATTACATGGGAGATATATGTATTTTCACTCTGTTGAGAAGTTTTTGATTTTGATGTATTACTTTTTAAAAAAAAGATAATTCAGGGGAGTTCTTGAAGTTAATCCAGATTTGAGTCGTAATTGAAAATATGTCTAGAACTTACTTGGATTTTTTTATGAAGCCATTCACTCTTCGTTCTGAAAACCTATTATTTGTTCATCTTGATGACCATCATTTGTGAATAGATACTTGTTGAATTTTATTGCCAGAGTCTCATGAGAAGGAAACACAAATAAATGACTTCATTACTTCTGCCCTGTGTCTTTCAGGGTTTCTGATCTATGGGTAGGTGTCAGGAGGTGAGGACTCAGAAACAGGAAGGGCTTCCCAGAGATTGGAGTGTCCGATCTGAGTCTTGAAGAATAAAGTGTTAGCAGTTAAGGAAGAGGGCAAAGGTATTTTGACTGTTTGGCACAGCATGAGCAAAGGTATGGAGACCTGAAAGGGCATGGCATGTTGGGGAAAGTACACATACGTGGCTCTGAGAGGGGGAGTTTGGTGGAAATCTGACATAGAGGACTTCTTGGATTCTTAAGGAGATTGGACTTTTTTCTTAAATGGCAGGAAACGATCCAGCAACAACCAGTCTGAGGTCAGGTGGGTAGATTTGTATTTTAAATGGAGAACTCATGTAGCTAACAGTCCATCCTCATCTTGCAGATCATGTAATTTTGAATTTTGAATTTGCCTACTTCCTAAAGGGAGTTTGTAACTCCAAAATCATATTCCCCAAGCAAAGCAGAGAAAATTTTGAGTCTCTCTCTACACTCATATTAGACAAGGCAACAGTCTTTTTTGTTACAGCTCTCATACTGTAAACAAGTGTCAATCTTGTTTTATATTTAGTGCCATATTTTTTGCATTTTGTGTTTTTTTTGTAGGTGATTTTGCCGTTTAAAATGGTCCCCAGGTATAGTACTGAAGTGTCCCCAAGTCCAAGAAGGCTGTGGTATGCCTTACAGAGAAAATATCTGTATTAGAGAAGTTTCTTTCAGGGAAGAGTCAAGTGCTGTTTGCTGTGAGTTTAATGGTAATCAATCAGCAGTCCAGAAAAAGAAGGGAAGTTTAGTCATCTGTATGTGAGGTTGCTCCAGAAAGTGCCCAGGTAACATGTATAGTGTGTGATGAAGTGATGGAAAAGCACTTACGTTTGTGTTTCTTGAGGTGACAACTAATAAAGGAAGTTCAGTGGACAGCATTGTTGTGAAGCCGAAAGCCAAAGAAAATTTTTTTAGAAAGTTCAGTTGTCCAAGGTCAGGAAAATGTTAACCCTTCTGGGGCAGTGCTGGCTGGTGCTTTCAAAGATGGTGCAGTGTAAAAAATGTTCAGTTTGCAGGCAAAATAGGTTATGCAAATAAGAAGACTGTGGAAGAACTTTAAAAATACCTGCTAAGTGTTGTACAAGAAAAAGTGTTATTGGAAGAGCAGATTTTCTACACTAAGACTGGCTTATTTTACAAGGATGTGGGTATGCAACCCTGGTGTTTTGGTTGACAAAAATGTGACCAGATGCTTGCAGGAACCTAACCTTGTATTTCTTGTAGGAACAATAGTTCAGTATTTTCTAATTTAGTGTTCTAAGCAACTTTATAAACTTAAGTACTGCAAATAACAAGAGTTGACTCTGGAGTGCATTACAAAGAGGTGTGACTCAGTCTGTTGAGGTAGTGCAAGTGAGTCAGGAGGGGATGGATTTGAGAAGCAGTGAGGAAGAGTAACATCTGTATGGGGACGCTCATCTGTATGGGGACGCTCATCTGTATGGGGACGCTCTAGGTATTACCAGGAAAAATTTCCGTGCAGTATCTGTACCTTATGATATAACATTAAAGGCCTTCAAATTCAGGACCAGAAAAAAAAACTTCTTTTACTAGATCATGAGAGATCTGCAGTTTACTGTGTTTGTCCTTATTCTGTAGTCACATAGAGTATTGATCTTGCATTAAAGTGCTTATCTCTGTCTTTTATGTGACTGGATATTTGTCTGACTCTCACTTTAGAGTATGAATTTTCAGAGAACACAGATTACATTTTTGTCTTGTATATCAAACAACAAAAGAATGCTTTGCATCTAGCAGGGTGAGGGTTTGACTTATGTGAAATTCTGTCACTTACATTCACATTATTAAACTTAGAGACTTTGTGATCCCTGGGACTCTTACTAAAAGCTCTGAACCATGATAGTGTGCTTGGTTTGTTAAAATGTTATAACAAAACTAGTTAGGAGCTTAATTTCTAGGATAATGTGTATTTTTTTTCTCCCAAATCTTCACTATCTTAAATTTTGGAGCACAGTTGGGATTTTAGAAGTGATCACTATCCATTTCTAAACAGAGTTGAATTCTCTCTGCAAAAGCTAAGTAAATTCCCATGATATCAGACCACAGAAGCAGGAAAGCTTAATGGTTTCTCATAGAAAAAAAAATACATGTTAACCCATATAGCCTCTGTGGATAATATAAATAATAGTAATTTGGCCTCTGAGATACTTACTGGAAGAGAGAGATAATTTCAAGATAACATAGTAAGGGCTATGATAGAAGTATATGCCTAGATGCTTTGGGAGCAGAAAGTAGGGGCACTCTCAAACTAGGAGGACGCTGGAGAGAATGAATGAAAATTTCAAGGTGTGATGTCTGAGCAATTTTGAAGGAAGAGCAGGGATTAGGTATTTGGGGGAGGGTACCAGGTGGTGACAATAGCAGGAACTATGGCAAGGATGCATGAGGCAGCATGATGTGTTTGGAAAACTGCTGAGATGGTGAGAGGAGGCTGGAGCCAGACCACGGAGGACTTTATGCTGCTTCTAGGAGGCTTGGACGTTAGCCTGTTACAGAGTTGTGTTTCAGAGACACTGCTGTTTGTTGAGATGTGAAAGGAGACTCTTTGCAAAGTAGGTTTTCTTGTCAAATAGGTCCATACATTTCTGCATACTGTAGCTGGCCATCACTTGGGCATCCATGATTCATGTGAATATACTGCAGGCTCCTGGAAGTCTGCGGTAACAAAACCTGTGTAATAGCATTTTAGCCAATGTTTCTCAAGTTTAAGCATAGAGCTTTTTTTTTTTAATGAACTATTATTTTCTTATAGAAATGTTCTGGGTAATGAACCATTGAAGGATTTAAGCTTATACTTATATTTTTTTACTTAACATACTTCCAAGATGCATCCTAATAAAACTCATTAAAATAGAGAATTGAAATTTGCCCCATTTTATGTATGTCTACAAAAGTAAAAAATTTCAGGAACAGATCATACCAATAAATGAACATGAATAGTAATGTGCTTATGTGGGGATTTAATTCCTCCAGGAATTTATAATTGTTTCTAAGTAAATAAATAGAATGACTCTACAAAAATTATTAAAATTAAGAACTATTTCCCTTAACTGTGACTTTCCCTGACCTATCAAAAGTATAGAGACTTATAATGAACACTCACCATCCACATTAATAAATATTAAAAGCCTGCTGTGTACCCTGCTCTAATTGTATTGTTCTCCCTCATCTCCAAAGTTAACCGCTGTCTTAAATTTGTTATCCATGCATTTCTTTATAGTGTTATTGCTCCTGTATGTGTCCCCAAAACAAGTGTTTTTTAACATATTTTCTAAGTTTGTATAAGTGGCTTTATACTTCTGAAACTTGCTTTTTTGTAGGATTTATCCATGTTAGTAAATGGAACTCTAGTGTGTTTATTTTTACTTGCAGATTTATAGTAGTCCATGACATATGTTCAGTTTGTTTTCTTTTGACATCACACTCACGCTGTAGTAAACATTTATAAATGACTCTCTTACCTGTGTTAAAGTTTTTCTAGGGCTCTTACCTAAGCATCAAGTTGCTAGGTATACATGTCTTCACCTTTATTAGACATTGCCAAATTACTTTCAAAAGTATTTGTACTAATTTACTAGCAGTGGATGAGATTTCCTGTTAACCTGTAGTCTAAAATAGGTTTTAACCTTCATATGTTCATGGGAAACAGGAAGAGTACAGTAAGCTAGAGATTGTACCACTTAGTGTGGATTAACCTTGAATTTCATTTTGTCTTTATAGACCTTGGAGAAATTCATTCAAGGCTTTTAGATCACAGACCAGTTATTCAAGGTGAAACGCGTTATTTTGTGAAAGAATTTGAAGTGAGTATTTAAAACTTACTTTGTAAAAACTCTGCCCTAATTGTTAGTGTTAATATATGGGAGGGAAAATCTGTAGTTTTAAAATTTCTGATTTCCATTGGTGTGGAATACACAAATTAAAACTTATTAAGAGGCATTGCCATTATGGAAGGAGGGCAAGACAAGGCCGTGGGAGACTTGGGCTCAACTGCAGGTGCCTACTCTGGGCTGTTCAGTGTCTGTCGATCTCAGTTTTTTGTTTTCTGCTTTCATTTTTAAAATGAGATATGGTAAAAAAAAGATTTTAAAGAGTGATGGGCCTATTTTCTGTATCTTTTTTTCTCAGCTGGGGCATCAGCACCCACCCAAAACAGTCAAAGTGAAACATGAGAATCATCCTTGGCTATTTTCTCCCCTTTAGGTTCCACATTCCATGAGCAGTTCTTCTAGATGTTACTCAGAAATCTCTGTCCCTTCTGGTTTGTGTGCCTGCTTTATCAACCCAGTCAAACCTGCTGCCAGAGTGCTCTGGCATTATTTCACTTTCAAAACCCTGTGATAATATTTGCTGTCTACAGATGAAGTCTAAGCAGCCTTCACAGTCTGGCCCTTACCTTTCTAACTTTACCTTCTACCACCCCACTTTGTATGCTGTGTTCCAGCAATGCTGATGCACCAGCCTGCATCCTCTTGCGTATCACTGTTGTTCTGCAGATGCTTATTGGTTCATTGTGCATTAAACAGTAACTTTCTAAGCTATTGTTGGATAGGTGGCAAATGGTGTTGGACAATTTTGTGATTCTCTGTAAGTTGGGGTCCTATTATGAACTGAGACTCCAACCATTCAGGGAGTGTAAACTTGCCGAAAGGAGAGAATCATTTCATAAGCCTTTTAAAACTACAGAAAGTCTGTGTCATAGAGTACTCAAAACAGGGACAGAGCTGCAGCATTAGATACCATTTCTGGTTTCAACAGACTCAAAAATCTGCATAATGCCTACTTCACAGAGTTGTAAAGGTTAAAGGTGTGTGTGCATGCACAAACATGCATTTATCTGTATGTGTGTGTCTTAGCATGTTATCTGGTCCCTAGGAATAACTAACTGTTAACTGTCTTCATCATTGTAATTGTTGTGGAGTAAGAATAATGTCGGACACACAGAAGTTATCCAGGGACTCTTCCCAATTCCTCAGTGAGAATAGTCTGGGCGTGGCATAGCTCGATTCTCTGTTCAGTCTCTCAAGGCTAAAATCACGGTGTTGACCAGATTTTGTTCTGATTTGGGGCTTGGAGTCCTTTTCCTAATTCACCATGTGGTGGGGCGCGGTTCCTTGCTGCGGTGGAAAGAGGTACCTGTTCCTTGTCTGCTGCGGCCGGGGCTCCTGTCAGCTCCTCCAGGCCGCTTGCATGTCTTGCCTGGTGGCCCCTTCCATCTCAGAGCCTTGCATGGAGTCTCCCTCCTGCGGAATCTCTCCAGTGCTTGCCAAGAAGCGCACACTCCCTGTTCAGGACTCACTTGATTATCAAGTCAGGCCCACTCAGGATAGTCTCCCTTTCTTAAAGTCAACTGATGGGACCTTAATATATTTACACCTAGGTTAGAGTTTGAGTAGCTGAGAGAAGGTTTGTGTACACTAGGGGTAGGGGTGCCAGGGACCATCTGAGAATTCTGTCTACCAAAAGCTCTTAAAACTACCTGGTATTTTTCGTGTTATTTACCTGCTTATTGCCTTTCTTCCGTCATTAGAATATAGGCAACATGAGAGTAGGGACTTATCTTTCTTACTCTCTGTTGTATTAAAAATGCCTAGACCGATGTCTCATGCATTGTAGATGCTTACTATGATTCAAAAGAACATGTCGCAGAGCTTAACTAAACCTTGGATTTTCTGACACCCAGTGATGTCATCTTTTTCATAAGTCATCTTTTTTGCCAGTATGCTTAGTCTGAATTACTAACTAGTTTTTATTTTTAAAAACTGTAAATACTTCTTTAAAGACCTACTTTATATTAAAAGAAGCATAAATTTATGGAATTAAGATGGATTCTCTAATATAATCTCCTAACTTTGTGGAAACTAAGCCCAGAAATGGAAAGCAATGTGTGAAAAGTCATACTGCTAATTAGTGTCTGAATTATCTTTAGAACACAAGTGTCATCATACTTACCTCAGTATTCTTTAAGTAATGTAGGTGATTGCTGTGAAAGTGCCATCCAAGGGAAACTGAGTCTTGAATGGAAGATGAAAGAAGAGTTACATTAATGCTATTGAGTGTGTCCCGTTCAGGATCTGACTTTCTGTTGGAGCCAGCACAGCTTTTAACTGGGGTACATTTGCCTGGACAAGATGTACATATAGTTAAGGGGAGAGGAATTGCCTGCAGTCCACATTGTTAGAGCTTCCACAATCCTTGTGGAGAGGAGGCTTGTGTTGAAGACTAAAAAGAAGAGAGACCTTGGACATGTCTGGCATCAAACTCTGGTTACTAGCTATGATTACTTGTTTTACTAAGGCTTAGTTTCTTCATTTTAAAAATGAGAGCAGTAATACATACTGTAGACTTTTTGTGAGGAATAAATGATAACATCATTTAAAAAATCCCGAGTGTTTAGGTGTCAGACAAATATTGCTAACTGTTATTCACAGGAAGGTAGTAGCACTACAATCAAATGAAAATGTATTAATTCAGAATTTGCAATATTTTGAATAAGTTTGGGTTTCAATTTTTAATATCTTTAGGGAAAATAAGGATTTGCTCAGCAAGTTATACAAGTGTCAGGAAAATATTTACTAAAGAATAAAATTTTCACACTGAGTATGACAGGTAAGGCTTATTTTGTATATGTCTTGAGCATTTACTTTCTGTGAGACATAATGTCAGGAACTAATGGAATATTGGTGAATAAAACAGAATAAGACAGACACAGACCCACTCTTCGTGAAGCAAGCCTTCCCATATCATCATTGAAGAATGGTCTCTGAAGGGCTCAAAAATATTTTGTCAGCTAAGTTAAGTTGTTACCTTTGACTAAATGTAATATTACTCCTTTTCCTGGAAAGTGCTTGATCCAGTCTTTGCACAGTAACCTCCCCAGCTGCGTTTCCTGAGGGTTTAGTGGAACGCAGAAACTTTCATGTGCATCACGTTCACCTCCTTTTTATATATTATATTCTAACATTCACCCTCCAATTAGAAGAGAAAAGCTGAAAGCATTTTAGAGACTTTAGATTTGGATAGATATCCGCATTATTTACAATTCTTTTCTCTCTTGGTCCAAACAGTAACATCCTGTTAATAGCAAAGGTAGTCTTTGCCCAAAATTGCTGCTTGGACCTAGAGGAATGGCGAAGCAGAGTTAGCAGTACTTCCTAGACGTTTCCGCTTCTCTACACAGTTCAGATGTAGTTCACTTGAAGAAAAACTGGCTGGTATTTAAAATTAAAGTTGTTAATAACTTACATATCTAAAAAAGTTAATGCACGTGGCAGTGATCATTCTTTCCTTTTACAGTTTTATTTCTAGGAGAAGGGAATAAGTGCCACATGGTGGCAGCGTTACTTAAATTATTGAAGTTCTATTTTATGCTCTCCTATTGTGTTTGTTAGTATTTCCAGACAGTTGACTATCTTTCTCCCAATTTTATGCAAGTCTTTTACTTCCTTGATTCCACTGAGTATTATTCACAGAGATCCCAGTGGAGCCCTCTCAGTGAGCATCAGTCTGGTCGTGTCGGTGGGTAGAGGCGTTGTCTTCTGCACCAGTATCTTTCTAGCCAGACAGCAGGTGTCAGGCCTCTCTCGTGTGGAACAGAGGAGAGACCCATGCATGCAGCAGTTATGAAGTGCTGATGGGGTATGGGGTCCTGTACCAATTGCTTATTTCATTTTTAGCAGATTTTATTCTTTGAGTGCTTTAGTAAGTAGTTATTGAGTATCTAGGTATGTCAGTAAAGAATGTGTTTAGTTACTAGTAACACATAACTTAAAACTAGTGGCTTTAGCAAATGCTTATTTTTCTCTTACAATACCCAGAGCCTGCCTAGCTGCTGATACGATGGCTCTATGATGTCAGCTTTTTCTTCCAACATTTCCTTTCACCTGATGTGTTGCTCATGTCCTTATGCTTACAAGGTGGCTTTGGGAACTCCCACCAGAACATCTGCATTTCATGTGGTAAAAAGGAAGGCAGGTAGGAAACTGCAGCACTCTTACAGGCACATTTACCACTCCAAATAATATTTGAGTGTTGGTAGGAAGAAAGAAGAGGAGAACAGATCCAGACCTATCACACTGGGTATGTAAGATAAGTAAGGAGCAGTCCTGCCTCCAGAAATTTAGTAAGGAGAAGAAAGACATATAAACAAATAACTTTAATAACAGAATTATATGATAAAGTAAGCACAAAGTACTTGAGATCTCAAGAAGAAACAACTCTCTAACAGAGATTGGAAGAACATGTTCATAGAGGGAATGAAGTTTGATCTGAGAAATAAAAATAGATGTTAGCCAGAAGGAAAAAAATTGAAGAAATGATGATTAAAATTAGAGGTTAAAGAAAATGTATTCAAGTAAGTATATAGTAACTATAGGAGTTGGGAGGGGTTGTGTTGATGAGTTTGAATGTGGATTGAATTGATAAAGACAAAAATCCTGTAAAATATAGGAGAGACTAGAATGTCACTTGGTATCCTGCTCCCAAATTTTTACTTAGGTTATTAGAGTAACTGTCAGATTATTAAATGTCAGGATAAAGTCTCCATATATATATATATATATATATACAATATGGTTTTAAATTTTGTGAGACTCTCCAGTTTTGTGATTGAAAGAAAATTTTAAGTTATTATATCAGTCTCTTGTTCCCTTTCTAATGTATCAGATTACATCTCTAATGTAAAATTATAGAAACTGTTCTAATATTATTAATGTTAACATTTTAAAGTGTTTATTGCCAGCCACTGTTTTAAGGATGTTACTTGAGCACTTGCTATAATTTCAACCTAAGAAAAATTAACTGC